ACTACTACTACTACTAGTAATACTACTACTACTACTACTACGACGACGACGACGACGACGACGCCTACTACTGCTCCTACTACCACTACAGCTGCCCCTACCACTACCACTACCCCTACCACTGCTGCTGCCACTACCACTACGACGACAGCGACGACTACTATTACTCCTGCTCCTCTGACTACTACACAAGGTAGTCAGCATCTAATAGCCGAGAGGCGCTGTCGAAGGCGCCGGGGCTCAACTTCTCGAGAAGTTGCCAAAGCTCCTCCACATGACGGCTTGACGGTTGTTTCTGTTGCTATTGTAAGGCCTCCTCTGGTCTCCGCTTGGGTTTTCAAAGCCATCTGGTTATCGTTGGACTGATTCTCATGATCGCTTCTCACCAGCTATTGTTGTTGTTATAGTGGTACCGGGTGTACTGGGAGCTGGCCTCTTGCGACTTTGCCCGAATGCCGAGCGTACATCCCAAGCCCAGCGATCCCACAACAAAGACATACGGCCGATGCAGAATTAGCAGTAGGGCAGGGTTTCTTGGCACAAGCAACAGCTTTGGCAAGCATAGTTGTGCCTTACCTGTGGTTTCTACGCAGCTCCAGGGGTGACAGCAGCGGTCAGCCGGACATAGTCGTGAACTTCATGAACTCAGGACATGTACTGATCTCGCAGTTTCGGGAGGGCAGCCCAGCCTTCATGAGACCACCAACCATCATTGAGAAAAGTCTTGATTACATCGGAACGACTAAGGAGCCCTCAATAATGAAGTACCCTTGAAGAAAGCCCATATGCGTTCAGATAGAGCCCACAGAGACGCTTCCTCTCGAGAGATGACCCCATCTTTGTTGGTGTCGAACTGCTTGAAAACCTCGAGGATCCTGTCGGGCGTCGGAAAATCAGGATTAGATTTAGGAATTTAAGGTCAAAGGTCCAGCACCGGGTTTAGATGTTGCTGTCTTTGCAAGTGCGAACAAGCTCGGCTTGTTGGCTTTCACTTCCGTGGTACTATGCAATCGTGCAGTCGCGATGGCCTTTGCCCCTCCTCGTCGGCAGCCATGGCTCATATCACAGCACAAGCGAAGAATCTGAATGTAACCTTGCGCCCTGCTGCTGAGCTGCTTGTTGATTGCCGGCTTCTTTGCACCGAAGTCCGCAGATCGCGTTTGCGATGCTTGAACCCAGAGATGACGAATGCCAGGGGCAGAGGCGCTCAATTCAACACCGCCAGCTGCAACAGTGACCTGTAACCCTAAAATGCTAAAGCCATTCAAGCTGTGGCCAGCTCGTCCACAAAGCTTGAACACATGGTTGTGCCAAATTCGGGTGCCAGGCGTGGTGGAGTTCCGACAGAAGAAGCCGTCATAACAGCGGATGGCTGTCTGCTGCTCAGGCCTGGGCACAGGCTTCCATTGGATTCTGCCAACATCAAAAGCACGGGACTTTCGACGTCAACAGCAAAAGTGGGCAAGGAACAACGAATCTACCGAGACATGCAAGAAGAGAAGTAACTCTTGACAGTGAACGATGCTAAGCTGTTGATACTTCTGCTCCTACTGCTGCTGCAGCTGCTGCT